GCTTCTAGGTGCAGCTTCCAACATGCATCAGCCCCATTCCAGCCCCTCCCAGGGGGAGAAGCAGCTGGGTTCGGCAGAGGAATTTTAGAGCATCCTCTGGTATTAGAGGCTGATTGCTCATTTGGGCTGGGAGAGGGGATAATTATCCAACTCCCCTGTCCTTCAGCTCATGGGGGAGCAGAGTGCTTAAAGATTTGCCTCCTCAATGGCAGCTTAAAACAGGCCATGAGGCTCCGAGGGCACAAAAAGCTCCTCTTCCACCCCGGAGTCTCCATGAAGAAGCACTCAAAACCTTAAAAGCCAAGAGCTGCTTCTAAAAGGTACTTAAAAATGTCTCAGCTGGGGCACAGGGGGAATTGCTGAAGGGGAAAGTGGGCTCGGTGCTGGGCACCACATCAGGAAAGCAAAGCAGGTTTCAATTTACATCCAGAGTAAGGAGTAATAACAGGATAAAAACTTCCTTGTGTGAGACGCTGTTATTTCATTACGTGGCCAGGCAAAGCCCAGACTTATTTTACTCCTGGCCAGTGACGTCCTCACTGTCATTTAGTCCTGAAGAATGAGCTTGAAGCATATTTAAATCGTGCTTTGTGTTTCCTCCCAAGTGATATATATATATAGATATATATAAGTTTATATATATATGTATGTATGCATACGCAGTTTTTGCTTTTTTTTTTTTAAGAATTATTTTAATGCGGACAAAAATATTGTAGAAAGCATCTGAAAGATGGTCTAGGGCCGTTTGGGAGCAGCCTGAGAGCCATGGGACCACAGTCCAGGGAAATCTTTTCTGTTTTTTCTGCCAAGCCTGGCTGGCATTGGTGCTTTAAAGAGGGATGGTCGTGGGAACAGCTCTGGGTTTGGCCCGGGCGCTGGGAAAAACCCGCCTCCCAACCCCAAAGGTTGACTCCCAGCAGAGACTGACTGCTTTAGGGGCAAATTTGGGCCAGGCAGGAAAAGAAAAAGCATCCCCATCAACCCTGTGGAGCAAAATGCTCATCCCCATCCCTTCCAAATGCTTTATGCTCCGAAAGCACGGATCAGGAGCTCGCTGGCAAATTCCCCTCTGGGGTCCTGCAGCCGCGACCTGGCCAGCTGGGCAGCTCTGGGGACGTGGTGCTGGCTGCGGGCTGTGACGGGGAGCTGAGCCCCGGCCCAGCCTCGTCCCCTCGCGCTGCTCTGCCGGCAGCAATGTGACAATGACAGCCCAGCCGATGGATTTCTCCTCGCGCGCGTTCCCGGTTATGCAAGTGTGTTTTCCATGTTTCCGAGCAAGCAGCTCCTCGTGTTTATTAAAAGCCCAGCCTGGGCGGGTGGAGGGGTGACCCCCGCCCGCTGTCGCATCAGCCGGGGACAGAACTGTCGCCGCTGGCTGTCTCGGAGGGGGAGAGATGGCAAACCGGCTGTTTCTGTGGGATGGGGAGGCTGGTGCCCCGGGGGGAGATGCCTGGAGCTGGGGGGGAAAGCGCCAGGGGCTGGAGGCGTGAGAGCCGCCGCTTAAGGCCAAGCAGAGCCATCAAAGCTCCTTGGAAGCAATGACCGCGGAGCGAAGGGGGATGCGGGGCTGGGAGTGAGTCCAGCCCGGGCAGGGGGTGACCGTGAGGAGACTCTGGTGGTCCCATCAAGTTGTCCTCTTCAAGGCAGTCGGGGACTCTGCTGGGGACGCCTCTGAGGGGCAAGGGGTGAGGGAAAGAAGGGTGAAACACCTCTCGCCGGACCGCACCGGTGTCTTCGGCGGTGACCCCCCTAACGGAGGGGATGTGAGTGGGACCCGTGGCAGGGGCTGGCTGTGCGGAGCCCTTCTCCGGGAAGGAGCCGGGCTGTCCCCGGCAAACCTGGGGCTGCCTCCTTCCCCGTCCCCACGCATCGCTCCCAGCCTGACACCGCGGGTCCCCGGCGTGTCCCCCCTGCCCATCCCGGTGCGGCGGCGGGCGCTTACCTGCCGGGAGGAGGAGGAGGGCGAGCAAGAGGAGGCGGCAGCAGCAGCCCATGGTGCCGGCGGCGCTGGCAGCCGCGGCAGGAGGGACGCACCGCCCGGCCCCGCTGCCGCCCGGCAAGGCCCGGCCCCCGCCACCGCCTCCCGCCTCCCGCCCGCGCCCGGCACACAGCGGCACCTGCCGGTCCTGGACACTGCCAGGGATGCGGACCGGCACCGTCGGGGATCCGGGACCGGCATCACCGGGATAGCGGGACCGGCACCGTCGGGGATGCGGGACGGGCATCGCCGGGATAGCCGGACCGGCACTGCCAGGGATGGGGACCGGCACCGTCGGGGGCGGGGGATGCGGGGCAGCAGGCACACCGTGCTAGGGGCGGGCACTGGGACAGGATGGTGGGACCAGTCCTCCCGCCCTGGCATGAGGCACTGGGCACTCAGCACTGCACTGGGTGGTGGGACCAGTCACCCTGTCCTGGCATGAGGCACTGGGACTGGGTGCCGAGCGGACATCACACACTGAGGACCAGGCATGGAGTGCTCTTGTACAAGCCAGTGACACCCATTTGGGGCGCTCTGTGTCACTGCCACTTGTCCCTCTTTATCCTCAGGGCCATGCCGGCTCCTGCCTGAGTATAACGGTGGTGTCCTGGCACAGGTTGTCCAGAGAAGCTGTGGCTGTCCTGCCCCTGGAAGTGTTCAAGGACAGGTTAGAGAAGGCTTGGAGCAACCTGGGCTAGTGGAAGGTGTCCCTTCCCATGGCAGCAGAGTCAGAACAAGAAGAGTTTTAAGGTCCCTTCCAATAAAACCTGCTCTGTGATTCCATGATTCTGGAGCTCCTGGGGATCCCTTTGCATAGAGGGGGTCTGGTGCCTGTGGTGAGGGTCAACCCAATTATATTAATTAAGGGGAGCCAGACCAGAGCCACCCAATCAGAGCCTTTCCAAAGCACAAACAGCTCCCAAAATGCAGCTCCCAGTGCCCAAAGGACCAAGCCAGGAGACACCTGTAGCACAGCAGGAGGTACAAGGACCATTTTTTTACCTCTTTCCCTCTGGAAAGAGCTGTGCTGTGGGTGAAATATTTTCAGGCTGAACTCATCCTCTCCAGGCTTTTGCATGCTCACTATGGAAAAGCTATCTTTAACCGGGGCTACTCAGCCCTCTATTCTGTTGTATTGTGTGGCGTTTTCTCAGGATAGATCCTGGCTCTGGGCCTAAAACAGCAGGACACAAAATCCAAGTCAGGTGGCATTCCTGAGGCAGACGGGTGTCAGGCGATATCAGCATCCCAGCTCTCCTTGAAACCTTTCCTCGGCTTGGGAGGAGGGAAAACAATGCTGTTGTTGCTGCGGGAGCTTGGTGCCGTGGGAACAGCGTGATAATAGCCCTGCTTCTTCTCCCACATCCTTTCCGGTGGTGCTGGTGCTGCTGTTGCTGCGTGCTTCCATGGGCAGGAGTTTTTGGAAGGGACGGGCGGGGCGGGGCCGGGCACAGCCTCTGCTCCTCGCCGTGCCCGAGCCGCGTGTTGGGGTGTCAAGGGCTGGGATATGGAAAGCCGGGAACACCCCTGAGGGCCACCAGCCTTGGGTTCCAGCTGCCACCTCCTGGTCACTTCTGCCTGGTCCTCAGCAGAGCAGGGGACATGGCCGGGGAGAGATCCCTTTTTTGGGCATGACTTCTGCCAGCGCTTTCCCATTGCTGCTGGAGATTGGAAACCATTGCCTCTGGTGACATCTGCCCCGAGGATCCAGCTCTTTTACAATCTCTTTAAAATGCTTTTCCCCACCAGTTTCATCCAGATATGAAGGATGCTGGAGGGAAACTTTTCTTTTGGTGGGCACGAGGTTTTTTTTTTTGCCTGCTCCCTGCCTTTGCCCACCTCACCGAGATGAAGCCAGCTCCTCGTGGGTGGTGGCCCTGTGCCACATCCAGGTGCCAGCTGCCAGTTTTGCTGGTCTTGCCCAAGCCCCCAACATAGGTTTTGCACCATCCTTGTGGTCTACCACACTGCCTGTATTTGGGGGGCGGCTGGCAGGGAGCCGGGGTGGCCGTGAGCCGAGGGGCCGGCAGTACCAGTGTGTCGGAGCTTGCAGCAGGAATTTTTGGCTGGCCAGGGCTAAGGGAGCTTGCTCACCCCCTGGCCAGCGGCCAAATGGCATGGCTGGGTGGCTGCCAGCACTTGCATTAATAGTTGCCAGCTTGCGGTTTGAGGTCACCCGTTCTTTCCAGTCTTTCATTTCCACCTTAATTCGCGGCTGTCACGACGCGGGGCCGGGAGCGGCTCCACCGCCCCTCCCTGCCTGCGCCCCTCTCCGGGCAGAACCTCTGGTGCTTTGCTCGGGGACGGGACAGCGCCAGCCCATGGCAGAGCATCCCTGCTGAGCAACTCCAAACGGCAGGAGGGGACATGGCGGCATCCGGGGGACACTTTCACCCCGCTGGGTCTCTTCTGTTCCTCAAGATGTCACTCAGGGGACCAGGAACATCCTCCCAACACACCTCGAGGCAAAACGTGCAGAGGGCTTGTGCGAAGGCAGAGCCCCTCGCAGAATAATTTGGAGCTGCCGTCATTCCCTGCCAAGGCCCTTGGGAGGGTGTTTTATAGCCGCTCGCTAGGAATAAATCTACTTTTTCACAACAAGCTGGCCAGGGATAAATGCTTTGGGGAGGTGTGGCCGGACTTGGGCGCAAGCCCTCTGTCTCTCTGGAGAGGGGATCCCCGGAGCCCCGCTTGGAATTTGTGATGGCAGGATGGGGGATCCCTGTCTCTGCCCAAATCCCCAGGGATCTGGGCATCTGCTTGGCGCCTCCTGGCAGGACGAGGCGAGGCTGGTGCGAGGTGGGACACACGTGGGTGGGACACATGGGAGGGGACACGCCGCGGAGGCACCGCCACATCGCCAAGGGATGGCTGCGGCGGGGTGGGAGCCGCGCAGCTGAAGGAGGAGGAGGTGCAGAAGGAGGAGAAGAAGGAGGGCGGTGGTGCCAGAGCGGCCGCCCCCGTCCCGCCCCTCCGCAGCTGCCGGGCACCGGGCACCGGGCAGGCGGCGGCGGCGCGCATGGAGGCGGCGGCGGCCCCGGCCCCGGGCGGCGGTCCCGGTACCCTGCTGCTCTGCCTGGCCCTCGCCTCCGGTAAGCACGGGCGTCCCCCTGCCCCGCCACCTGCCCGGGCCCGGGATACCCAGGGGCAGGCAGCGTGTTCCTCCCTGTCCCGTCCCGGTGCTTCCCGCCCCTGCACGGTGCTCCGCGTCCCTGCACGGTGTCACCTCCGCTGTTGTCTCAGCCCGGTGTCACCCCCTGTCCCGGCACCGTCCTCTCTCTGGTCCCGCTGCTTCCCGGTCCCAGGCTGATGATCCTGCACCTGCCTCCCAGTCCCGTCCCGGTGCTCCCTCCTGCCTGTGCTGGTGCTCTCCCATCCTATCCTGCTGCTCCCCTGGTCCCATTCTGCTGCACCCTTGTATTACCCTCTCTTACACCCCATCCTGATGCTGGCCCTGTCCCATCCCAGTGTTCATCCTGGTGTTTCTCCAGTCACATCACAGTGACTCCCTGTACCCCCAGGACAATCCCATCCCAGCCCTTCCTCCATGCCCAGCCTGGTGTTTACCCAGTCCTTTCCCTAGGCTCCTCCGTGTGCCCCAGGTCCCATCCTGGAACTCCCCACAATCCCAATCCGGTGCTCCCCTCGCCTCTGAATCCCTCAATCGCTTGGGGCCAGCATGGGGGCTAGGATGTCCTGGCTGGATCCTGGAGCAGGACTGGGATGCTTTTACCACCTGTTGATGGGACACTGCTCCTGGGTGCCTGAATACCCACAGCCATCATTGGCGGCGCCGGGAATGTGGGATGCCGGGGACAGGGCGGCCAGTACCTCTTCAGAGTGAGTGTGTGAGCATTCCCATGTTAGTTCCTACGTTTTTGGGAAGCAGGAAGCTGCAGACAGGTGTCTGCTCATGGCTGCCAGGAAATAACCACACAGGCTGGACAGCTGACACCCTTCCTGGCAGAGAGTGGCTGCACTGGGGTTTCAGGGGAGCTTTTCTCTCTGCAGGGAGCAGTTTGGGTTCGGCCCTTTGGCAGGGCTGGTGACAGCACTTGGCAAAACCTGCCAAACCTGTGCTGGCAGGAGGAAACCAAGGGTAGCCGACCTGTTTTGGGGCCGGTGTGTCCCCTGAGACCACGGCAGTGTCCTGGGTGGTTGCTCTCCTATAGTTTGGGCATTCCTGGGAGAGCATGGGGGTGTTAACAGCAAAATAATCCAGTGTTTGGGATACTTTCCTGGGTTATCTCTGGCTTCTCAGGGAAGGGTGCAGCCCTAGATAGTGGAGCCAAGTATCAGAAGATGAGGATGTTCGCACCTGCAGCTTCTGAGTGCCGCGATCCGGCTGTGGGTGGGCACAACCTCCCTCCCTCTGGAGCTGGCGCTGCCACCAGGGCGGTCCTGCCGAGGGGCTGCCAGCCCGCAGGATGCCAGAACTCCGCATCTGGTTGCAATAAGGGCGGGGAGCTCAGCTTGGTGGGGATCTTTCCATGCCGAGCTGTGAACTCGGTCACCGGGAGTGAAGTCAGCCTCCCTCCCTGTCCCGCCGCATGCCCACGCCGCCCACAGCTGGATCCCGGGGTGCAGCCGCCCCATGGCTCATCCCTGGCTCTCGCCAGGCAGCTCCCACCCTGCGGCTGGCCCGGGTGGGGCGGGGGGCTCCCTTTCCTCCCCGCCGGGCTCTCTTGGAGCGCTGTCACTCGCAGGACGTCATTAGCGCGGTGGTGGCTATATATAGCCAGGAGGGACGTGTGTGCTGGGAATGTCCCTGCTCTGGGATGGGGGGGACCGGAGGCTTGGCTGGGCAGCTCCCGCCGCTGTTTCCAAGGTGTCGAAGGGCCGGATGAGGAAACAGGTAGCAGGAGACGAGGCTGCCAGGATTTGGTTGCACAAACTCTCCACTCTTTGGGAAGCCTCAAAGAGCACCCACCTGGGATGGCAACAGCCCCGCCTCGGCGGGAGCCACCCAGCGCCCTGCCCCGTCAGGCAGGACCTGTCCCCGCTCCCTGGGTGCCACCACGGCGGGTGAATCCCTGGGGAGGGCCGGGCGGGGAGCGGGGCCGTGCTGAGTCAGTGCTGGTATGCCAGCGATCCGGTTACCGCCGCTCTGACGTGCCGGCCTCCGCCACCTCTCGGTTTCATCCTGTGAGCCACGGGGAGAGCGTGGTGGCTCCTTTCCCGGCCCAGGCTGTGCGGGACTCCAGGGAGACCTCAGAGCTCCTTGCAGTGCCTAAAGGGGCTCCAAGAAACCCGCAGAGGGACTTGTCACTAGGGCACGGAGTGACAGGACAAAGGGGAGCGGCTTCATACTGACAAAGGGCAGGTTTAGATTAGATACTGGGAAGAAATTCTTCCCGTGAGGGTGGGGAGGCCTTGGCACAGGTTGCCCAGAGAAGCTGTGGCTGCCCCATCCCTAGAAGTGTCCAAGGCCAAGTTGGACACGGCTTGGAGCAACGTGGGATAGTGGAAGGTGTCCCTGCCCATGGCAGTAGGGCTGGAACAAGATGAACTTTACAGTCCCTTCCAGCCCAAACCAATCAGTGATTCCATGATTCCGAATCTCTCTGGGGATCCCTCCCTGCATCCTCCCTGGGCAGAGGAGCAGCTGGCTGGGCTGTGTGGTCCAAACCCCACCACGCTGGTTCCCAGACCTCCGTGCTGGAGCGTGGGTGGGTGGAAGCAGCAGGCGGGGACCTTCCCTTTTTCCCTTCTCCCAGCCCTGGGGAAAAGCTGATGCTGGCAGCGGAGGGGGGCCGTGGACACAGCTGCAGAGCCCATTGTCAGCGCCCTCCCTGTCGCGCTGGGGGGTGCTGTGGGGTGCTGGGTGGCTGCTGGGGGTCCCCCTCTGAGCTGCCTCCGCTGCCTTCCAGGCTTGGCGTTCTTCAGCTGCGTGGGCGCCGACACCAACGTCACGGCCGAGCACGGCACGGAGGGGCTCAGCTGCGACACAGCCAAGGGATACACAGGTAAGGGGGTGCTCGGGGGAGCCGGGGGCGCTGGGAGGGAGCGGGGGAGCAGCTCAGGATGAGCGGGTGTTTTGTCTGGCGTAGCCGTGTGGCATCCCTGGGCTGGGAAGCCAAGGACACCCGTACTGGCAGCTGGTGGCAGCCGGCCAGGCTCGGAGCTGCTGAGGGGATGCTGATGTCTCTGGGGACAGAACTGTCACCCCTCTGAGGGGATCTTTGTCCTTGGCACCCCCAGGGAACGGGACGCAGCTGAAGCGGCAGGGCCACTTCGCGCGGTGCCCGGAGGAATACCAGCACTACTGCGTCAAAGGGAAGTGCCGCTTCTTCGTGGCCGAGCAGGCACCGGCTTGTGTGTAAGTCACCCCCGGTGGGGACGCGGCGGGATGCTGTGCCCGTCCTCCCCGGGAGAGCAGCAGGAGGGGGGCACGGGCACCGTGGCAGCTTTTGGGACCGCCCTGTGCCTCCCCTGTGCCCCGGGGCAGGTGCGAGCCAGGCTACACCGGGGCTCGCTGTGAGAAGGTGGATCTGTTCTACCTGCGAGGGGACCAGGGCCAGATCGTCATCATCTCCCTGATCGTCGGCATCGTCACCCTCATCATCCTCATCGTCGGCATCTGCCTCTGCAGTCAGTACGTGGGCGGGAAGGGAAGGGGAAGGGAGGAGGGAGCGAATCCAATCCTGCCCGGCTCCCCCGGCTCCAGACAGGTCGAATTGGGGCTGCCCCAGTGGGACATGGTCCTGCAGGTGTTGGGAAGTGCCTGGGACACTCCTTTGGGGCTGGAAACCAGGTGTGATCCCACATGGATCTTGTGCAGGGTAAAAGACGAGGGAGAGGGAGGGACATCACTGCCATGTCCCCTTCTGCCTCTTTGTTGTTGCTGCTGGGATGTTCTTTTGTTTGTTTGGTTGGTTTTTTAAAATTATTATTTTCCCCGCTATCAAGCCACTGAGAAAGGCAGAAGAGATGGAGACGTTAAACAAGGATTCAGCTTCCAGAAGTGAAGATGTGCGGGAAACGGGCATCGCGTGAAGGTGCAGGGGAGCGGGGGGGCGAGACCGAGCCGGTGTGACCGGAGCCCCGCATTGGGGTGGGTGCCGAGGCTGACGGGTTCCGCTCTCTCCACAGGAGCTCCCGGTACCTGCGGGCGGGTCCCGGACGGCAGCAGCGGCTGGCTGCATGGGCGAGGGCTAAAGCGTGCGGCGGTTTGAATAAAGGGGTGACGGAAAGGTGTCCCGGTGTCGCCGGTGTCCTTGCGGGCGCGGGGGCTGCGCTGCTGAGCCGCGGCCGCCAGAGGGCGACACTGCGCTGCGCGGGGTGCCTGCCATACCGGCCACGGCCACACGAGGGCGACACAGCCGCGGCGCCGCCGTCCCGGTACCGGGGCCGCTCCCGCTCCCGGGGCCGCTCCCGGTGCCGGCTCCAAGGGGATCTGCCAGGCTCGGGGTTCCGGGCGGCCTGGGGGCTGTGCAGCAGCTGCTCCCATTGCCGCCGCCGCGTCTCCCCGCAGGGACCAAACCCAGCTCAGCGTCCCCGGGCGTCCTCCCTGTTCCCGACAGCCGGCGGGACAGAGCCGGGGGTGCCTCGGTGTCGCGGCGGGCAAAACTGGTCGAAAACAGATCAGAACCGGGTCAACCGGGGCTGTTTGGTCCCGTGTCCCCGCGTTGCCGGCTGGCGGGGGCTGCAGTCCGGACCCCGCCCGGGCAGCCGCCGGTGATGGTTTGTTCCCTCCCGTGGGTGCGGGACCCTCTGAGGTTCCCCGTAGCTCTGACAGTGGGGTTAGGCACGGACCCTCTCCGGGGACAGCAGCAGCATCCTGGGATGCGGCAGAGTGTCCCTGTTGTCTCCCACCCTGAACCGCGGGAGATGGGGACGCGGTGGAGCCGCGGGTCCCCGGCAGCTCCCAATTTCCAATTCCCAGCACGGGCCCGGCTTCCGCTGGAACCGTGGCCTGGTGACCGTCCCTGGGGGCTCGGCACACCGCGTGTCCCCGCCCGTACTGGGCAGACTGGGAGCACGCGGGGCTGGAGTCTCCCGGTGGATCCAGGGACCCCTCCTGCCCCCGGGCTCCGTTCTCCCGGCTCGGGCACCGGCGGGTTCCTCTGCCAGAGCAGGACCGACCCCTCCAGCCTGGCACTGGCTTTGCCAGAGACAGGATGCTCTGGTGAGTGTGGGGCAGCTGTTGGGGACACTGGTTTGCACACTGGGTTCCAGCCCTTTGTTCCTGTCAGGGGTCATCCTCACGAGTGGATGCCTGGGAGCTGGAGCTGGCAGTGTCAAGTGTTGCCACAGGGGCTTGGGGGTGGCTCTGGGGCTGTGTGAAGCCCTGCTGTGACTGAAAAGCTTCTTTTTCAGCTTAGACCGTGCCGTGGTGGGAGCAGAGGCCACCCCAGGGATGTGCATCAGCTCCTGCAGCGGTGGGACAGTGATTCCAGCTGGACACGGGGGGCAGTGGCCACCCTGGCAGTGCCAATCCCTCGGGAGCCGTTGGTGTCCAAGTGATGCCACTTGGCTGTGGAAGGCTCATTCCACTGCCTGGGCAAGGAGCACGGCCCTGAGGTGCCTGGGGACAGTTTTTTGAGTGTCAAAAACACTTCACCAGGGTCCAGGATAGGGAAATGGATTCTAGATTCCATGCAGCTGCTGGGAGCCCTGGTGTGAGCTGAGTGGCACCAGCAGCACCTGTGAACTGATTTCCCCCCCTATAAATTGCTGTTTAGCCCCAGGCTCTGCTGGGCCTGCCTGTGGGGAGTGAAGCCAAGAGAAAAATGCTTGATGTTCCTCATGGGAATGTGCTGCACACAGTCTGGGAGACAAATAAAATTAAAATGAGGTATGAGCCTTTTTCCTGTCTGGTTTTTTTGGTTGGTTGAAGTTGATGGCTTGGTTGCTGCTGGCCAAAAAGGGCTGGGAAAAGCAGGCACTGGATATTCAGCAGCCCTGCAGGTCTCATGGGTGGATAAAACAAATACTTCCAGTCTTTTTATAATGCTTCTGGAGCACTGGCCAGGTAAACGTTGGAGCTGTTTTATTCAGTGCTGGATTTTAAGTGCCTCCCATTGTAATTCTCATTGGGCTTTTCCCATGGCAGCCCTACATTCCCTGGTTGTAAAGAAGTGATGCTTCTCTGGATGCCACCCTGGAATTTCTGCATTGCCTCTGAATTCCTGCTTTAACCTGTTGAGTTCCTAGGTTGTGTTGTGCTGAGCAACAAGGCTGGCAACTTAAAAAAACCCCACACAACTAAGTCAGGAACTTTGCTGCTCCCTTTACATTTTTGAGAATGGATTAGAGAAGGGGTGGGATGAAAAGGCAGGAGGTGAATCCACCTTGTGGGTGTCACGGTGCTGAAGCAGGAGGAATGAGAGCTGGAAAAGAAAATTATTATCTCAAAACCTAAATAAAAATCCCTGGTGCAACAGAGTGGAAAAGCCAAGTGGTTTATGCCCAGGCTGGCAAGGACAGGATGAAATCCCTGGGGAGGTGATGCTGGCTGGCATCAGGCAGGAGCAGCCTGAACTTTCCAAGGAATCTGGTTTTAGTAAGGAGATTATGATTTTTATTGTTTTGAACAGCAGTTGAATATTTTTGAGTGGCTTTTCCCCCCTAAAAGTAGTGATGGTGTCACCTGGCAGAGATGTCCTTGGCTGGCCTAATGGCGTTTCTCCAGTTTTCTTCAGAATCTCAGGTCACTGGAATTGTCAGGCCTTACCCTGTGCATCCAGAATGGGAAGGATGAAAACCTGAGTACAGGAATGAGGTGTGGGTCACTCACCCCAACAGAACAAGCTGAAACCCAACTTATTAATTGGAAAAAATTAGAAATAGATAGGAAATTCGGAAATTAATATTTTGGAAATTAAATGCCAAAGGCAGGCTGTAACATGAGGGAGGTGGGTGGATCCAGTGCCTTGGCATCAGTGGTTTTGCTGCTCCAGTGCAGCAGGTCCAGTCCCAGGTCAGTGGGATCTTTGGGGTAAAAAACAAACTAACTAAAACCAAGTTGTCCTTTCTGTTTAGGTCTGTACCCCAAAATAAGAGGGGCTCTGGGAGGAGATGGACAGGGACCGTGCCAGCCAAATCCATCTTGTTTCTCACACTACAGGGAAAGTCAGCAGTGATCCAGAGGCTGTCAATGTTCCCCAGAAAAGAGATGAGCTAGCCTGAACAGGGAGTTCTTCTTGGTTTTGGCTCTGTTTTATCGCTCTGGTTCATCTCTGTGCACCCAGGTGTCCTTATCTGCTTCCCTTGCTGTACTTGTTGCACACAGAGCATCCACATTTGGGCTCAGGGGATTTTCCTGTTGTTTTCTGGGCTGGGTTTGCCATCTTCCTGCATCCCAACGCGGGGCTTCTTCACTTGCAGTACCCCCAAACCCCACCCGTGCTGATCTGGGCAGGTGGGGAGGCTGCAGGGGGGCTGGGAGTGCCCAGAGTCCCCTCGCAGGTGCTGGGATGTTGCTTCCAGGTAGCTGAATACCCCAACACCCACAGACTGCTGTCTCTGGGGGCATTTGATGAGTATTTTCCCTGGTTTTGCTCTTTTTTTAGAGCTTTAGCTCCCAGGATCAGGGCTGGGAGCTCTCCCTGCCTGTGCAGGCGCATCTTTCCCACCGTCCCCACCGCCCCCAGGGTGCACAAAGCTTTCTCAGCAGCAGTGAGGGGACTTATATCGTCTTTATTTTGTCTGCAGGGTTACAAGGGAGGCAGGGAGCTGTGGGCTCGGTGACATCTTCCATCTGCCGGACATCCTCCAGCTCAGTTCCCTGCTGCTCCTGTTTCCGATGTCCCCCGGTCCTGCGTGTTCACAGAGCTCAGCCTCCTGGTCCTGCTCCATCCGTGCGCGCCTGGAGGAGCGATCCCTGCTGCCAGCTCCGGGCAGGACTATCCCAGCAGGCAGGACTCCTTATTGCACACTTCTCCCAGGTCCGAGCTCACCTGGGAAAGGAGAGAAGAGCCGAGGGGCAGCCCCGGAGCGGGTCTGGTCCCGCAGGGGGCAGGAGGGGATGTGGCGGTACCTTGGCAGCGCAGAGGAGCGGGGGAGCCTCCGGGAGGCAGCAGGTGGAGGCGAAGGACACTCGCTGCTCCAGCAGCTGCTCCAGATGCGCCGGGCTGGCCTCGGGCTCCGCCTGTGCCAGGGTTTCCCGCAGCCTGCGGCGTGGGGAGCGCGGTTACTGCGGGATCCGCGGCATTCCGGACCCACGCGGATTTTGGGGAGGCGGGATGCGCGCGTGGGTGGCTCCGTTTGGCACCCTCAACAGCTTGGACGAATTCTGCTTGCACCCAGTGATCCAGGTGGGTGTTTTATGTTTTTTTTGGATTTTTTTTTTTTTTTTTTTTTTTTTATGTTTTTTTTGGTTTTTTTTTTGGGGGTGGGGGGGGGGAAGGCAAAGGTTTACCTCTTCTTGAACTCGAGGAAAGGCAGCTTGTGGTAGTGCCCGCAGAGCTGGTTGGCGTTTTCCAGGAAGGGGAACACCTCTGCTTCTATCCGCTTGCGCTGGGAGCAGAGGGTGGGAGTTAGCAGGCTGGGAAAAGCCTCTGCGAGGATTCGAGATGAGGGGGAACAGGGTGAGCCCCCACACCACTCACCTTGCCGTCCAAGCAGGCGGAGGGGTCCTTGGTGGAGCAGCATTCCCCCCGAAGTTTCCCGGAGAAGTCGTAGAGCTTGGCCAGGACGGCATCAGGGAGGCAGGGGTGCCTCCGTGCCAGCTCAAACAGGTACCTGGAGCGGGAAACGAGCGGTCGCAGGAATTTGTTTTTTATTACGGGTGCTGCTCAGAACGGGATGGAGGCAGCTGTTGGCATCTTTGTGCAGCCCCTGGCGTTGCCTGGTGGCACAAATTCCCCTGAGGGAATTGGGGGTGTTCCCCTGGTTATCCCCATAATAACCTAAGCATGGAACAGGGTCAGGAATGGGTTGGACTCGATGATCTTAGGGGGTCTTTTCCAACTTAAATGGTTCTATTCCATGACTGCACCCTGGCTGCCGTGGGTCCCACTCACCTGGTGGCGTGGAGAGCCCCCTCCTTGCCACACAGCTCCTTGTTGGTCGGCTCATAGGGCTCTGGCAGCTTGGGAGCAGGGGCTGGGAGCATGGCCAGGATGCAGAAATGGTTTTCCATCAGGTTTTTCCCCTTGCAGCAGTCGTCGAAGCGCCCGTCCCGGCCCGACAGCGCGGTGCAGACTTTGGTCGTGTGCTCCAGCAGCTGCAGGGATGTAGGAGCAGGGGATGTGCAGGTCCCCTCAGCTCCCTGAGCTCCTGCTGGGACTCAGGAGCTGGTTTGGGGTGGGCTCCAGCCTCCCCTACCTTCTTCTGCATGCAGTCCTCGGCCGTGGAGTCACAGCACTGGGAAGACACCTCGGCAGCATCTTCAGCCAGGGGGAGAAGGTCCTCGTAGGAAGCAGTGGGAACCTTCTGAGCCAGCGAGGTCAGGTAGCTGGGGAGCACAGGGTGTGTGGGAGGGAGGGGATGGGGAGCGCAGGGCTTGCTCTGCATCTGTGCTGTGCATGGAGCAGCTCCAGGGATTTACAGCAGAATTACAGCTTATATTTCTGAATGCTGTCTGCCAACAGGATTTGCAGCAAGAGGGAGGAACCCTCTCCCAGCCCGGCCCCTGTTCCAGGATGGAGAGGCCATTTCCCCCCGTACCTGAAGCTGACTTTGTCCTTCCCATATGCAGAGAAGCGGGAGCAAATGCGGTTTGACGTCAGGGTGAGTAGGGAGAGGGTTTTCCTCTCCAGTTTCTGCAACAAAAAGAGACTGGAAATGTCCTCCTCTTCCCAGGGCCATTAGCACAGGGCTTGCCTGGCTCCCCAGGAAGTGAGGATGGGGGCGAGCTGAGCTCTCCCAAGGGTCTCACCTCCTTGAGGAAGCAGTGAGTGGGTGAAGAGGAAATGCAGCAGGTGGAGACCATGGAGAGGAAGGTCCTGGTGGAGCCCACAAGCACAGGCAGGGGAGCCTGGCTGTAGCTGCTGGCATACTCATAAAGGAACCTGTGGCAGAGATGGGATAAGGAGACCTTTGGGATCAGGGGATCTGGAGCATGAGTGGGGTTTGGAAGTGTTAGGGTCGTCCAGGGATGGGAGCCCTCTCCAGGTACCACCTCAAGCTGTCAGCTGATGGCACTGGCCGGTGGCAGCACCCACCTGGGCTCAGCAGGATGCTCTCCCCACCCTGGCTCACCTATCGGCGAATTCCCGGGGGTCCTGCCGGAATGCCTGGCAGAGCTCCGTGTCGGAGGGCTGGAGGTATCGGGGCAGGGGATGGGGCGGGTGCCGCAGGGCAGCCAGGCACAGCTTCCGCTCCAGCCCCTGGTGCGCACAGCACTCGGCCGTGCCGGGATGCGCCGGGAAGGGCGAGTCTGCTCTGCAGGATTTCACCGACAGCGCCGTGGACTGCAGGAGAGAGAAGAGGTTATGGCCACCCCACCCCGTCCTATCCCAGCTCCCGTTTGGGGTCCATTACCCATCTCTGGTCAGTCTCACCCCAGCATCGTAGCAGGAGGGGTCAGCCCCGTCGGCGCAGCACTTCTCGGCCAGGGAGACGATGTCCCGGACGAGGTGGCCGATCTCCTCGAAGGTGCCGTTGGAATATTTCCGGCTGTTGGCAATGATGGTCCTGGGAGCAGGGAGCAAGGACAGGGAGAGCCAGGTGAGCCTTTATCTTCAATCAGAACTCATGTTACAGCACTGTCCTGCCTAAATGGGTTTTACAGTGCTGGCTGTGGTACTGTGAGAAATAACAGCATATTCCTTGGAAAACAGCCAGGAAAGAAATGGAACAGCTTCCAGGCTGGGGGCTGCCACTTACAGGGGACTATGTGTCAGCTCTGTTAGACTTCCTAATTATTTAGGTACTTAATTGATTTTGAGGAATTCAGCAGTGAATCAAACTTTTCTCCTGCTAAAAGCAATCAGAGTCCAGGGGTTGAATTGCATCTCCCCTTTTTGATTAATTGAATCCATCATCCCTTTTCCAAGATGTCTATTTACTGTTTTTTGTTCTTGGCCCAAGTGTCAAGCATCCTGAGAGGGCACCAGCAGCACGAGATACCTACAGGGTTCGGAAGTTCTCCTTTCCCAGCACCCTGTACTCCTTGCAGACCTTGTCCCGGACATAAGCTTTCCCTGAAAATGCAGGAGAAGGAGGAATTGTGAGTAGGAAACAAGGAATGCTCTGCCACCAGAGAACACACTGCTCTATTCACTTGAGGTTTGTTCATTTTTTTCACTCCATTACTTCTTTTTCCAAGTAGGATTTGGTGGTCCCTGGGGAGATGTTGGCACAGCTAGTCTGGGAGAAGCATCCCTGGTATCCAGGCTGCTGCTCCATCTCTGCAGCCGGGGAAAGGGGCAGGGAGAAAACTCTCTCTGGAGCTGGAGAGCTACAGGTAAATAATATGGCAGTTTTTGAGTATGGAATACATGGGGTTGGTTTTTCTGACAGGGCTTGGAAACCATGAGGGCTGGGAGCTCTGGGGCCAGGTCCACAGAGCAGCCAGCAGTGGAAACATTGCCAGAAATGCTGTCATCTCTGGAAAAACGCAATCGATTTGTGTTACAGACTCTGTGGGGGTCAGACTTCGGCACCAGCAGGGTAAACACTGATACCGGGGGTGTTTCCTGGGATTACAGTGTGGGGCAGGGTCACCTCCACAAAACACAGTGGTTTGGGCTGTGACCCTGAGGCTCATATCTCTCTGGTGGGAATGGAAGAGTAGGGCATAGGCAGAGGGTTGCCAAAAAAGGGGAAGCTGTGGAAAGGGCAGGTCTCTCTCCTGACAGCAATGTCGGCTGTTGGTCCCAACTTTTTTTGTTCTAAAGCCATGTGGGAGAGGTAAGTTTTAAGTGTTTTTTTGGCAGGTGGGTGATTGCCTGTGGAGCTGAGAAGGCAGAAAAGAGCAGCAGAGCATCGTTTCCAGCAAGGGGTGAGTTTTGCAGAGGAATAGTGCTTGTCAGGGGGGTCAGGAAATCCCATTTTTCTTTAGAAAGAGAAGGAGCTGATCCTGCAGATCTGTCTCCCCCTCCCTGCTCCTCCAGCATCACCCCCAAGCGGCATCCTGGACACCAAAGCATCATCTCACCCCTTCCCTTCCTCTCTGCTCCTGTCCAGTGGTTTGGCTGCAGCCTGGGAGAGGGGAGGCCACCAAAAGCCACTGGAACAGCCCCATGCCCCTATCCCAGGGGCCAGCAAGGCACCAGAATCACACCCTTACCTCGGTGCATCGCATCTGCAGCGGCCAAGAGCAGCAGCAGGGCCAGAGCTGCCCTCATGTTGGAGCTGGCTCCTCTCCTCCTGCCGGGAAGCGGCACCGGGAGTCCCATCCCGGCGTTTTTATGGAGGCAGTGTCAGCAGCCAGGAGAATCATTAATCCCAGAGGGCAAGCATCCTTGGCCTGCCCCCTGGGGCCCGGGTGCCAGCGCCTCAGAAATTCACCCTGTTTAAATCATTAACTTGGGAAAACAGGGATGGGTGGCCGTGCAACCTCAGGATGTGTGTGAAGGATGCTGGGAGCAACACGAATGACAAGAGAATAAAAAGCTTTCAGTGCACCCTGTGAGTGGAAAGCTCTGTGTACTCGGGACAGGGCCTGATCCCGAGGAAGGAGACGCTTTTTTGGGGATGTCAGCACACCAAACCTGCTGGTGCTGCTGGGAAATGCCGGCTGTTATCCTCAGCTCCAGACTGCACCTCATCCCCAGGTGTGTGCTCCAGATTTCATTCCTTACACTGCTGGGTTGGGGTCTCTGGCTTTGCAGCCCCATCCCAGATTTCTGCTGGGAGTGCTATAGAGCTCTATAGGGTCTCCCTACAGTGCAGCCTTGCCTTTGTCCCTAGAAAAATGAAAACGCAACGTTTTCATATTCTAGGGTCCTAAGACAAGCTTAGGAAGAGGAGAAGATCCAGCTCAAGTAATTTTCACTGGTCCTGCCTGGGAAATTGATGAGAGGAAAGCGAACAGACAGGGATGGAGATCCAACTGTTGCACTGAGACCCCGGCCCCCAAATCTGCTCAGCTTCCCCCTGCATCCTGCACTCCCCTTGAGACCAGGCGCTCCCTCTCACACCACATCCCCTAGGCTGATGATATAGACTGTGGTTTTTATGGAAGAACTCAGTTTTTTCTCCCAGTGGTCTGCACTGACAGTGAGCTGCAGATGCAGGAGATAACCATGTCTTGTTCTTGACGGTTTATGTGTGAAAAGTGCAAATAAATAATTCGGAACTCGTGGAATGGGCTCTTCTCTTGGACTAACTTTTCCTGTCATCCTTTCATGTAATGGGGAGGGTGGGGGGGCAGCGCCCACAGTCGCTCTCGGGGCTGCGGGAGCCAGGGCCGCTCCCCGAGAAGCGGGTGCCGGTCCGAGCCCCTCGAGCCGCGCCCGGTCCTGGCCGCGGTTCCGCGTCTGCACCGGAGAATCACCGCCGATCTCCGCGGCCCGGCTCCCCGCAGCCGAGGCAGGAGCGGCAGCGCCGGACTCGGCCCCAGCACCCGTCCCAGAGCGGCACATCCGACCCGCGGCGATCCCGGGCCCGGTACCGATGCCGCTTCGACCCACCCTCCGGGGGAGAGGCGGCAGCGCCCGGGACCCCAGACGGACCCCGGCAGGACTCGGTC